GGCCGAGCTTCTTGTTTCCGATTCCCTGCGCCGACGCACGCGAGTAGACGATCCAGGCAAAGACCGCCAACGAAGAGCACCATGAACAGAAACCCCGGCAGCGCCGACGCCCCCCCGCTCCGCCGCCCCATCCGCCGTTCCCGCCCGCGAGGTCAGGGTGGCGCCTCTCGCCCTCGTCGGTCAGGACGACGCGGTACTCGACGCCGCAGCTCCCCTTGAGGACGTAGGGGTCGTCGGCTGAGCTGTAGCCCTCGCACAGGACGTCGGTGCTGCCGAGCTTGAGGTCGACGGGCAGGCTGGCGGCGCAGGACCACTGGATGTCCTCCGTGTCGTAGCCGGACCCCTGGTTCGTGCAGCGCAGGACGTCGATCGGGTGCAGGGCGCAGAGCTTCGGGGCCGAGAGGCACTTGAGCTGGGGCACGGCGGGGAGGCGGCGGTGCGTCGTCTGGGCGCCGTCGCCGCGGAGCGTCAGCGTCTTGACATGGGAGAGGAGGATGGCGTTCTTGGGCGGTTTGGCGGCGGCTGCTGCGGCGGGAAGGGAGAGGAGAAGGGGCAGGAGGATGGCGGAGATGGCCTCGGATCGCATTTTGAGGGCGTGTTAGATCGTGTGGTTCGACAGGGTTTTTTTTTTCTTTGGGTTTGTTCGGTGCGTGTAGGTAGGCAAACGTCGTCGTCGTCAAGTCGCAGCACGCAGACTGGGCTCAGTGCATGACGTATGCAGCGCCCTCGAAGAGATGTTCAGAAGTTGTTCACCGTTCGAGGCTGTAGGAGGTTGGCGATTCAGATGGGTTTCTTCGAGAGAGGACAGATTGCCATCAGCCTTTAGCGTGGCAAAAGCCTAGAGATGGGTGGAAGAGACGTCAGTACGTGTTGGTAGCTGAAGCCTAACCGCCGGATAGCTTCAGAAGCTTACTTCGGTTCAGGTAGGACTCCAGCTGGAGCTGGAGGCAAATCCGACTGTAGGTGGGGCCAACGCCACCTAAACCAGATCTCGCCACGTGTCAGCCACAGCGCAATCTCGACGACGTGAGGCAAGAAATCTCGTCCCGACACAGACGCAGTGAAGGCGCCGATGCGATGTGCTCTATTGATACTGGTATCGCCTGTGTCGAGGAACTACCTGGTACGCAATTGGTCCTCTTCTTCTGAGCGGAAATTCCGAAACACATGTCACTTTGCCCTTTGAACCAAAGCCTCGAGACAAAATCATTTCAGTTTGTTCAGTGAGACCATGGCTTTTCCTAGACTCTCCTCAATGTCCGGGTGAACGCCCCTCCCACCGAAGGCTGTTGAGCACAATCTCCCTAGCGTTCACTTCGGACTTGGGATGGACCTCGTTATCGGCGACCACATTGGGGAATTCTGAGGGTCGACGCTTGGAGATGGAGATCCACTCCTTGTGCCATGCATCGTGCATAGTGGACTGCGACAGATGGAGACCCCAGGCCAAGCGAAAAGCTTGGCTCTCGCATATGATGGCCGGAGACATGCGACGCGACAAGGCGAAGATGGGGTTAGTCGGCGTTAGCACATGGTATGGGGTTTCGACCTGGATCCGAGCCCAGCGAATGCGAGTCCGAGATGGGAGCTTTGAACAAACAGGCAGCAGCAAAGGCGAAACAAAAACCAAAAAGTGTAAAAGCACAGGAATGAAGGACCACATCATTGCGACACGACACACATGATCTTACTCGTAAGAGCCGTCGTAGTTACGAGCTGTGCATCAGAAACAAAATCCACATACCCACGCATGCACGCGTTGCCCTGCCCCCCACCAAGGTGACAAGGTACCTACGAGGTAGTCGTTCAAGAACGGGTCAATCTTACCAGGCAGCAGCAGCAGCAGCAGCAGCAGCACGAGGAGCAGCGCAACAGCAGGCCAGGCCACTCGGCAAGCCATTGCCGGAAGGGGTGCGCCGCGAACGGGGCGACTGACTTGTGCCAGTGATTAAGCGACGACAACTCGGAGTGAAATCAGTGACGGCGCGTGGCCCCGCGGCGCATCGGTCAAGGTATCCAATAGACTCAAACTCGGCGGGGTGGGCCTCGGGGCGTTGAAGGGCCCGAGGCGCGGTAAGACAATACCACTTGGGTTGGGGTCCTTTCCCCCCCCTATGAATCCCCTACCCCAAGGTACCTGATCACTACCTTGCTGCAATGGACGTTGCTGCGATGGGGGGACGCGAATGATCCTGATGCATGTCATCTGGGAGCCGCTACTTCCGTTGACTCACCCGATGCTGTGCCGCAATGTTTGTCGATAGGATCTCTCGCCGATGATGACGGCCGCCGTATGGTCTGGACGTATGGTCTGGCGATGATAACATGGCAGAGACAGCAAAAGGGAGCTGACGCAATGCTAGACGAGACACACCAGCGTGACATGTTGCCATACTTGAGGCGCAGGCTTGGTGGTGGATGGTGGGTGGTGGGTGTCCTGAGCAGCTAAAAGAAAATAAAAAAAAAATGGACAAGTGTGAGACCCTTCGAAGTGGAGGGGGACTGATGCTGGCTACCAATCGCATCGGTGTGATCTTTCGGTTTAGCCTATGAACTTAGTTAGGTAGTACCTTCGATACGTATCTGCTACTGCTGTGCTGACACGGCGAGGGAGTCAGGCCGTGTGGAACGAGCTGGCCGGGCGCCCCTGCCCTCTCCGGCCGAGTCCCCATCTTGTACCCCCGGTTCGGGCGTAAACGAGGGAACCACTACCAAGAGGCGCTGCTTTTCCAGAAGGAAGCACCAACGTGCAACCACAAGACGCTGTGCACCTGGAACCGGGATTAAGCCCCGCCACATAGTGGACGGAACATCGGCAAGATCCCTTGCCCGTTGACCAGCACAAATTCCACCTGCAGCCGCAGCGAGCTATTAGTTGCCTCGGTCGCTACAAGTACAACAACAATCTCATCCCACCAACGCAGATCCATGTGGTCCCCTGTCCAGCTTCAAAGCACTTTTCCTTTCCTTTTGCATCGACTGTTCGTTCTCTTTTTGGGCAACTTGCAGATGACTGACCAGTTTTCTGCCACAAACACCAGACTGGAACGAAGGCGATAAAGACACCAGCTACGACTGCCGGCACAACGCCATAGGTCCCGTCCCGCTTTGGGTGAAGCAAAGCATCCTCCGATCTCATTCTTCCCGATGCGCCAAACGTGAGCCTGAGACATCACCACGCGAGAACAGTCCAACCCGTTTGCGATCACCAAAAATTACTGCAGCAGAAGCTTCTGGTGACTCGACGCCGCTGGGAATAGTTCCCTCCAGTTCGAACCTTCCCCCCAAGCTGTGCGAGCTTGCGAGGCTCTCCCAGCTCTCCCAGCTCTTACCATGTCCAACCCGCCACCAGAAAAGCCCATCGCGAGCGGCACCGCTTCCTCGCAAGGGGACTCGACGGAAATAGAAGCGCATTCACACACCAACGAGAAGGCTGCTACCGACAAGAATGACCTCGAGAAAGCCGACAGCAAGGTTGCGACCCCGCCCGAGGCCGCATCCCAAGAGGATCCCTTCAAGCACCTGCCTGATGACGAGGCAGCCGTGTTGAAGCGCCAGATCATCACCCCCGAGGTCAAGGCGGGCGTGGCGGCGCTCTACAGGTACTCCTCGACCAACGACATCATCATCATCATCATCTCCACCCTTTGTGCCATTGCTGCAGGTGCCGCCCTGCCGCTCATGACTGTCATCTTCGGCAATCTGCAGAATGTATTCCAGGACTACTTCGTCCACCGGAATATGTCCCATGACGACTTCACGGACGAGCTTGCCAAGCTAGTCTTGTACTTTGTTTATCTGGCCATCGGCGAATTCGTCGTCAGCTACATCTCGACCGTCGGCTTCATCTACACGGGTGAGCACATCAGTGCCCAGATTCGCATTCACTATCTCGAGAGCTGCATGCGCCAGAACATTGGCTTCTTCGACAACCTCGGCTCCGGAGAGGTCACAACGCGCATCACGGCCGACACCAACCTGATCCAGGACGGCATGTCCGAGAAGGTCTCGCTGACCATTGCCGCACTCGCCACGTTCATCGCCGCCTTCGTCATCGGCTTCATCTTCTACTGGAAGCTGACTCTCATCCTCTTCTCGACCGTTGTCGCCCTCGTCCTCGTCATGGGCGGTGGATCGACGTTCATCATGAAGTTCAACAAACAGTCCATTGACTCGTACGCCCAGGGTGGCAGCTTGGCCGACGAGGTCATCAGCTCCATCCGAAATGCCATCGCGTTTGGCACCCAGGACCGCCTGGCCAAGCAGTACGATGTTCATCTCGTCAAGGCCGAATTTTTCGGCTTCCGAGTCAAGGGAGCCATCGGCTGCATGGTCGCAGGTATGATGTGCATTTTGTACCTCAACTACGGCTTAGCCTTCTGGATGGGAAGTACCTATATCCTGAGCGGCGAGGTGGACCTTCGAGCTGTCTTGATTATCATGATGTCGGTCATGATCGGTGCGTTCAATGTTGGCAACGTTGCACCCAATATCCAAGCATTCTCCACAGCTGTCGCTGCCGCCGCCAAGATTTACAACACCATCGACCGCGTGTCGCCCCTGGATCCTTCTCTTGACACTGGCGACAGGCTCGAGAAGCTGGAGGGCACCATCACGCTTAAGGGCATTAAGCACATTTACCCCTCGCGGCCCGAGGTCGTCGTCATGCAGGACGTTTCCTTGACCATTCCCGCCGGCAAGACGACTGCCTTGGTCGGCGCCTCGGGTTCTGGTAAGAGTACGATTGTTGGACTTGTCGAGCGCTTCTATGACCCTGTCCAGGGATCCGTCTACCTGGACGGACATGATATCGCCAAGCTCAACCTTAGATGGCTTCGCCAGCAGATGGCCCTTGTGAGCCAGGAACCAACGTTGTTTGGCACGACCATCTTCCACAACATTCGTCATGGCCTCATCGGTACCCAGCATGAGAACGAGTCTGAAGAAAAGTTGCGTGAGCTTGTCATCGGAGCTGCAAAGAAGGCCAATGCCCATGATTTCATCACTAGCCTTCCCGAGGGATACGAGACAAATGTCGGCGAGCGCGGTTTCCTGTTGTCTGGCGGCCAGAAGCAGCGTATTGCTATTGCTCGTGCCATTGTCTCTGACCCCAAGAGTAAGTTGCTTCTTCCAGTCTGCACCGCTTTCGGAAGCCTCTCAGAACTGACAACATGATATAGTCCTTCTCCTTGACGAAGCCACCTCGGCCCTCGACACCAAGTCGGAGGGCGTCGTACAAGCTGCCCTCGAGGTCGCCGCCGAAGGTCGCACCACGATTACCATTGCTCATCGACTTTCAACGATCCGTGACGCTCACAATATTGTCGTCATGTCCGAAGGTCGCATTGTCGAGCAGGGAACTCACGACGAGCTTCTTGAACTGAACGCCGCCTACTACAATCTCGTCACCGCCCAGAACATTGCCGCCGTGAACGAGATGACCCCCGAGGAGGCGGCAGCCATCGACGAAAAGGATGAACAGCTGATACGCCAAGCCTCCCGATCCAAGGAAGGCTACGTGCATGATCCGCAAGACGACATCAACCTCAATCGCACCACCACCACCAAGTCAGCTTCCAGCGTTGCTCTTCAGGGCAAGCAGCCCGAACCGGAGAAGAAGTATGGTCTCTGGACACTGATCAAGCTCATTGGCTCCTTCAATAAAAAGGAGGTGCACTTCATGCTGATTGGATTGATCTTTTCCATCATCTGTGGAGGTGGCAACCCAACGACGGCCGTATTCTTTGCCAAGCAGATTGTCACGCTCATCGTGCCTGTGACGGATGAGAATCGCGACCAGATCAAGTCCGACTCGGACTTCTGGAGTCTCATGTATCTGATGCTTGCTCTGGTTCAGCTCCTCGCGTTTGCGACTCAAGGTATCCTGTTCGCCAAGTGCTCTGAGCGACTCGTCCACCGGGTCAGAGACCGCGCTTTCCGCACCATGCTGCGCCAGGATGTTGCCTTCTTTGACAAGGACGAGAACACGGCCGGCGCACTGACGTCTTTCTTGTCGACCGAGACCACGCACGTGGCAGGGCTGAGCGGTGTCACACTGGGTACCCTGCTCATGGTCACCACTACGCTTGTTGCGGCACTGGCGCTGTCTATTGCCATCGGCTGGAAACTCGCCCTCGTGTGCGCGGCAACGATTCCACTACTGATCGGATGTGGCTTCTTCCGTTTCTGGATCCTTGCACACTTTCAACGCCGGTCCAAGGCTGCGTATCCGACCTCGGCGAGCTTCGCCTCCTGAGGACATCTCGGCCATCCGCACCGTTGCGTCTCTCACCCGCGAGCAGGACGTCCTCGACATGTACAAGAAGTCACTGGCCGAGCAGCAGCGACGCAGTCTGCGATCCGTCCTCAAGTCGAGCTCACTCTACGCTGGCTCTCAGTCTCTGACGTTCCTTGCTTTCGCCCTTGGTTTCTGGTACGGTGGCACACTCATCGCCAGCCGCGAGTATAATATGTTCCAGTTCTTCGTCTGCTTTTCCGCTATCATCTTCGGTGCGCAGTCGGCTGGATCCATCTTCTCTTTTGCGCCCGATATGGGCAAGGCGCATCAGGCGGCGGGCGAGCTGAAGACACTCTTTGACCGCAAGCCGACCATTGACACTTGGTCCACGGAAGGCGAGTCGCTCGAGTCGGTCGACGGCACGCTCGAGTTCCGCGATGTGCACTTCCGCTACCCGACGAGGCCGGAGCAGCCCGTGCTGCGTGGCCTTAACCTTACCGTACGCCCCGGTCAGTACATCGCGCTTGTTGGCGCTTCGGGCTGCGGCAAGTCGACGACGATAGCCCTTCTCGAGCGATTCTATGACCCGCTCGCAGGCGGCATTTACATTGACGGCAAGGAGATTAGCACGCTCAACGTGAACAACTACCGTTCCTTCATCGCGCTCGTCAGTCAAGAGCCTACACTGTACCAAGGCTCAATTCGCGAGAACATCCTGCTCGGCACTCCCCACGAGGCCACGGATGAGGCCATTGAGTTTGCATGCCGTGAGGCCAACATCTACGACTTCATCGTGTCTTTACCCGACGGCTTCAACACAGTTGTCGGCAGCAAGGGTGCGCTCCTGTCGGGTGGACAGAAGCAGCGCATTGCGATTGCACGTGCATTGATCCGAGACCCGAAGATCCTGCTACTGGACGAGGCGACGTCCGCGTTGGACTCGGAGTCGGAGCACGTTGTGCAGGCAGCCCTCGACAAGGCGGCCAAGGGACGGACGACGATTGCCGTCGCGCACAGGCTGAGCACTATCCAAAAGGCGGATGTAATCTATGTATTCGATCAGGGACGGATCGTAGAGCAGGGTACACACACGGAGCTCATGCGGGCGAACGGCCGGTACGCCGAGCTGGTCAACCTGCAGAGCCTGGAGAAGCATGCTTAAAAGTGTAGAGAGGCGAGAGAGGCATCTTGGTTTTTTTTTTCTTCTTGATATCCGGCCTCTGGAGGTCATATTCGGAACTCCACGGGTAGGAGGTTTCCATCATACATGCGGCGTTGGATGGCATATTTTGTGTCGATGCTTTGAGCATTATAGTGTAGTGTAATCGGCTGCGCCCGGGGAGGACGCCCACCCCTCTCGTCCTTTCTGTTACCATACGCCCCAGGGGCGATGAAGAACCTCACCTTTTTTCTCTGTTCAAGATGTTTTCCGCCGATGCGTGGTATTTTGAACTGTCGTAAGAAGTGTTTAGTCATTGTGATACGTTGCCGTGTAGGACATGTTTTCCCGCTTGAGGCTGCGGGCTCTGGATATGAGATTTCCGAGCGTCAGTGACGCCCACGACTTTGTTGGACGTGCACGAACAAAAGAAGAAGGACCTAAAGCAAGGAATTCGAGACATGCATTCTCGCCCAGAGTGCGATGCGGAATAGCCGCCTCTCATCCCCGCGACGGCGCTCGGCTCTGAGGGCAGCACCGCGGGTACGCCACCACCATATCACGAAGATGGAAAGCGATGCTGCGTTGTCTCGGGTCTCCTTTCCTCCTTGCTTCACGCTTCGCACCGGCGCAATGGTGGATGGAGACCGCCCGTGCAGCTTGGGGCAATGCAGGACAAGGGCGCCTCGTGGCGAGATTACCTTAGGGGTAGGTGGGCTGTTGGCGATACCACGCGGCGGCGGCGGGACGGACGCAGGGGAAAACAAGGTGAAACATGCAAGGAGGATGCGCGCGTGGGGATGACGGCGGATCCGCTCGGTGGTACGAGGGACAAGAGACTAGAGACAGAGAGAGTGCTTGAGGGGGACCATGACGGTGCCGTGGCGGGATCGGAGGTTTCTGTTGAGTTCGGCAGTCGAGGTCCGGTTGCACGGCACTGCATCGCTGTCGGATGAGCTGGAGAGGTATTAGGTATATGGCGTGTGATGTAATTGGCAATTGACTCTTGCTAGAGCTATCAATGAGGCATGGAGGCGGTCGATGGCAGAGGAAACATGAGTAAAAAGAAGAAACTCGAACGAGGCTTGAGAGAAATGGCCAAATGGCAAAACAGAACGACCCGGAGGTCGTGAGCTGGGGTGAGCCGGGATCGAACCAGCGACCTTTAGATTGACTTCCTGAAGTTGACTTCAGTCTAACGCGCTCCCAACTGCGCCATCCCCCCTGGAGATGGCAACTCGACCGTTCCGGAGATTGATATTCTGTGAATCAAGCACTTCACAACTTTAAGCATCAGGCCCAAGCAAGAAATTGCTGTGCCGAGACCATTGCTTCCTACTCTTTCGCAAGGCCTATAGCAGTTACCTACATACCACTCAGCAGACTGCAAGAATTGCCTGTTGATCCATCCAATGCCATGCCTCGCAAAGCAAGCAAGACACATGCCGAGTAAGCGGCGGTCACGTCCTCCAACGGGCGGCCAAGCCGACAATTTGCATGATTGCTGCGCCCCGAGACGTGGGCCCGAGGCAAGCGACCTGAAAGTACCGGGCCAAAAACATGGGGAAAAAGGGGGCTCAATGCGAGAGCCGCCTACACGCTCCCAGAATAACTCATGTCCGTCATGACGAATCCACTCCGAGAATTCGTGCCCGATCATCACTTCTACTCTGGGATTGCGGCCGATACCAGGGCCCTGTGAACACGAACGGCAGGACTCTTCGATGAATGCGACTGGACGGTTCGAGGGCTCGGGGACCGTGTCCCCTCCCGGCACACGAAGATGCCAAGAGACCTATACGGGTTCTCCGAGCCCTCGAGATGAGGACTTCAACGAGCGCAGAGAATGAAGCCCTACAGGACTCGGCAGCGAGCATGTCTGTCCTTCGCTATAAGAAGCAGGAGGAGAGCGTCATGATGTAGAACACGTCGTTGTGGCTTGACCACGCCTTCATCTCCCACTCGATCTGCTCGCGACTCTCTTTCCAAGGTCCCTCGTATCGCGCTACCAGCCTCGCCAAGATGCTCTCCCGATCCATCGTCGCGCTTCTCTCCTTGGCGGCAGCCGCCTCGGCGAGCGTCATTCCTCGCGCCAACAGCACCTGCGCGGATCCCGTCGTCCGCAAAGAGTGGCGCGAGCTCAGCGGCGCCGAAAAGGCCGAGTACCTCCGCGCCGCCGTCTGCCTGCGCAACCTCCCCAAGGCCAAGTACGAGTTTGTCGACGCCGTGACGACGCGCATGGACGACCTCGTCTTCACCCACTTCAGCCTCAATACGGACATACACTTTGTGGCCAACTTTCTCCCGTGGCACCGCTGGTACGTGCAGCTGCACGAGGACCTGCTGCGCACCGAGTGCGGCTTCACGGCGCGCAGCCGTACTG